ATATAATGGGAAAAAACTTGTTTGAACGGTATCGATAAAATAATTAGACGATTAATTAAATCATCCTGCGTTTATTGAAGTAAATACCACGCATGTAATATCACAATCCAGACAATTCGCGTTGTGTAAAATAAGTCTTAATGAAAAATAAGTAAAGGATAAGAACATATAGGATACTTCTTAATTTGTTCTCTAATCAGGAATTGCGTGTATCGTGATATTACGCAACGTGTAATGGTTTGTATTGTGTATATAAGAAATAAAACGCCATACTATTTTTGTATTCATGAAATTTCATAAGCACGAGGCCTTGTTTCATTTTTATTATCAGCATTATTTTATGTATCTCTGTACAAAAACAGTCGAAAAAATTATAGATTCTCCTCTCACATATATACTCGCGCGCACTCCGTCACTTACACTCTCGCACTCTCTCACTCGCGCATAAAGTTTTTAATTTTTTCGAGCTCGAGAGCGTATGTACAAGCATTAAATGATATATATTTATATATATTTATACTTTATATATAATATGTATAGAATATCGTGTACGAGAGACCTACGAACTAAATATAATTATACACTGATGATACAATAATCATAGAGTTATCGTAATTATAGATCATTGTAGAGCTTTTTTCTTCTTATTACAATACGCCTACATTTCTCATGTATTTTCTTTAAAATTCTTCAAGTCTACGAATTCATCTGGGTTGTTTCGTCTCCAATTTTTTTTATACTGCCTGGTGTGAATCTATTATTTTTATCAGCTGTCATTCCCGAGTATATGCTGTCTTATGTCGAACATTGTATATGTGTAATTTTCGTAATCGTCCGGAAAAAAATTTGTACAATTGGATTTCCAAAAAATTAAATAAAAAATTAATAGTCACTCACACGCATATGCGAACGCCATTAACCCCATATATTCTCTCAATGTCTGCGTGTAATCACAAACCTCTAGCGACGTGCCTCCGAATCTCGATCGTGTTAGCTTCGCCTCACCTTTTTCGCCCGTTTTCTTTTTTTTTCAACGTTAACTGCGTACACATGACTCCCTCCTTATTATTTCTATCTCCATACATATTTACAAGCGATCACAATTACCGCGGTTCGTTTTCACAAATCGACAGATACCGCGTAAATTTGTACAATGATTCTGTTAATAATAATGAAAATGGTAAAATAAAATGAATAAAAAAAAGTAATAAGTCCAGAAAAAGCAGATCCGTTCAAGATTCGAAGGCCACTCGCACAAACGAAGATACTATTTAACCCCCTCCCCCCAATTCTTAAATCGTCGACCCTATTTTCCACCGGTTTCTAGTTTTTCTCTGCTATTAAGTATAACAAAAAATAAAAGAAAACAAAAAGACATATGACACCTTCGACCGTCATGTACTTTTCTTTGCCTCAGTTATTCCTGCT